CTTGTCTAGGCCGTTCCGTTACCTGTCGGCCGTCGGCTGTGGTCGTTGCTACCCGATGGGTCCATGTAACAACAGGGAGCCTGACTTTCGAGTCTTTCATCTGTCCCTACTCTGGTACATTCTTCGGTTTGTCTTTTTATGCCCCTAATCAGCTTCTCCGTCACACAATGTCGGACAAGAACGCCTTCTAGAAGGTCTGAGCATAAAAGTCGGTGTGATCCAGGGCGACTTGGCTGTTGTGCAACAGGCTGCATGGTTGCACATTTCGTATCGCACGACGTACGACGTACGACGTACGTGTCCGTCTGTGATGGATGCGGTGGCGTTGTTAGGTTGTGGCACCGAACACACGAGGCTCAGTGGCCGTTGGTGAGATAGGAGCTGAAAAGGGGCAGGGGCAACAGACAACACCTACTGTGACTTACGCATTGTCAATGGCCTGTTTTGGCGATGTTGATTGCAAGTGCACCTCGACAAATTCCACAATCCACATATTTCCTCTAATCACAAATCTTAATTACAAGCGATGCAGTCATTCTGAAACGGTCAATTGTCGGCGGTGAGAGTCCTACTGGACCAAAGCGCTTGCATGCTATGGAGCAATAGACATGTCTGTTGCTGTTGGTACGGTGAAGGACGACCTGTCCACTGCCCACCGTCTGCCGTCTGCCGTCTGCCGTCAGTCGCCTGCCGTGCCGTCTGACTCGGCTACGTGTTTTCTTCCGAGTTTATTTTAAGCACGTCGCGATGCGACCCCTTTACACCCTCCTGCCGTCCATCCTTCTCTCCATATCACCGACTGGAGAAGGGCTGAACACAGTTCCAGACTTGAACATGTCTGGGCAGCTTGTGCTGCAGCTGCACAAAAATGGACACGAAAAGAGAGGAGCTCGGCCTCAAGATGGCCCAATGTGGACCTTTTGGCGACGCAGCAGACACGGTACAGAGGGCTACAGAAGGCCAAAAACGGAGACAGGCAGCAGTGGAAAAGACCATCTGCAAGAACGGTGCGGGATGTCAGTTTCTCTGGACCTTTTTTGAGTGCGTCTGCATTGGTCCCGGCTTGAGACAAGAAGCAGCCAGCAAAGGCACGAGTCTCGGTCATCCGTGTCGTGCCTCTCAATTTCCGCCGAAACGTGACTCTGCCCTTTGCTTTGTCGCACTCATCCCCAAGTTGGAAATCACATCACCTGGCCGTCTCAGCCCAAGAAGAACACGACACGTCTCCACGACGCGATGCGACTTCAAACGGTAGTCTCGCGTACGAGAGGCCTCGAGTCCAGCCTTTTACGCAACACCCGTCTCCACGTCTGAGCGCCGGAGGCAGGCCGGCGGAGCCGTGGAGAAAATGATGGAGAAAACTACAAAGTATGGAGTCAGGATGCACTGCATCTCTGCCACTGCAGCCTTGCCATTAAGTGTCTCCATTGTGCGCTTTGTCGTCTGACTTGGCAGGATACTTTTGTTCAATTAAATAACGCGTCGCGTCAAACAACGTCGCGAGACTGTTGTAAAAAAGGATGACGAAACGCAGAGTAATCACAATTTTTTGGCATGCTTCGACGAGCGGAGCAAATTACAGGTCTGGCAGGCGCAGTACCATGTCCCGTTCTTTGTCGAATAGGAGACAAAGACTGTCGCGAGAAAGTATACGTGGTTACAGTCGTCAACTGGTCCAATTCGCAATTTCAGAAACAGCTGCATTTGCAACCTCTACGTCTTTTGCCATCACACAGTGTTTATTTCCACGTCCGCTTGCCATGCGTTGTTTTCGATCATTCTGTTTCTTACGGCGTTCCATTAAGATTTTCAGTGAGAACCATTGTTGGGTTTTTGGGGTTTTTTTGGCCATATTTCATATATTCACGCCCCTTACCTAACCGTTCTGGTGTGCTATATCACGAACAACCTGGCTCTCATATAGGCCCTTCCTCCCAAATGGTCGCCCTCGAGTGGTCATGGCCCGATTACAGCCAGCCATCGTCGATCCTCACGCAATTTTGTGGTCCTTTTCCTTCACTACGCAATTACGTGTCATGGTGTGCCGGGCGGCTGCCCGTCGTCCCTCTTCCGGTCATCTCTCACAATTTCGAGGCAACCTGATTCGATTCTTCCGCATTGTTGTGGCCCCCTTGTCCTCATTGTTCTTGCTCGTTTGGCTCGGACGGCGTTCGTAGGAAAAAAAAAGATACGCCGAAGCGGTTTGCTGAAGAAAAGTTGGTAAATGAGCAAAACTAAAAAGGCACGCTGTAAAGGGGGGTATACCAGTGCTTTTTATACGCGCGCCGCGCACCGAACAATGTGATTGAGATAGATGTTCGGAGTACACGTTTTGTGTGACTAAACGCAAAGAGAAATTGTCCACCAACAGCAGCGATGTCCGGCGCTACCAACTCCACCGTTCCTACGGCGCAACCACTCTCCGGAACCGAACGCGCTCCGAATTGACCGGGCTCTAGTTTTGCCGTACGCGAGGTGCGGAAGCGAGGTCGCTTACATGAGAGTGATGTGACCAGTGTACACGGTACAGCACCGGGACAGCGTTGAATACTGTTGGTACTGGAAAATGTGGCTGTCTCTTCGCACGTTCTACAATAAACCTTGGTTTCGCTGATATATGTTGCAGCGAGGGGCAGAAACAAAGAAATAATTGCAGCAAAAGTCTCATATGGTATAAAAAAGCAATGACGCCGTGGCCGGGAGGCACTAAAAAGACAAAGCACGCTGGGTTGTGTTCCATTGTATATTGTTCGCCTTTCTATATCTTCTAGAAGTACCAAAGTATGAAGTTGGGCTGGGACAGACGAACGGTGTATGTGGCACTTTGTGGAAACCTTAACGCAACTGTTAAGAGCTCTGGAGTTTCATAAAAAAACGCGAAAACAAAAAAGGTCTGACCGCACGGGATGAACGCCATGCTCGCTCGGACTGCCGCCCAACCACGGATGCGTTTGCCGGGGAAAACAAAGTAGGAATCCCACCCGGAACAATGAGCGCGAAAAAAGGGCGAAGCGAGATGGAGGGGCGTGTGCAAAACAAGACAAAACTGATGACTGTAAACTGGGAAAGAAATGGGACAATGTCCAGACTCTTCCTAGAGGATCCTAGAGGATGCATCACTGTGGCCAAACTCAGATCGTTGGCGAGGTTGGCGATGGACAAGAAAAATTAAAAATACATAAAAATAAAATCATGATGGCAGGTCTTGAGACTGCAACAACACCCATCTCACGTGTACCTCGGGCCTCGACAGATTTTTTCACGCCCTTCTGTGGGCGCACGCACTTAACAAACGCGCAATATCATGTCGTCAGCCTGCCGGATGTATCCTATTACGGCATACGATGTACAGTCGAAGTTTCGTCTTGGCTTTTCTCATAATTTGTCGTCAAGGCCTCGAGCAATCTGTGTTTTACAGCAAGAGTGGAATTGCCGTGGTTGTATGGAGCAGGGTGCACAGGTTCTCCTGTATCAAATAATGCCGCTGTAAGGAGGACAAGTACGACGTACACCAGCCAGCCGTGACTTTTGTTATTTCCCGCAGCTTGGGGACCCAAAGGACCCCTTGCTCACCGAAAACGGCCACAGGCCGCGCTCCTACACCGACTTGCCGTCCCGTCTCCCCCGGATCCAGGTTCCAGGCCATGATTGTCTTGGTGCAATGTGCCATTAATTACTCAAACTGACCGTGTCAGTGACATCCCGCGTCTTCGTTTGTTGGTACGGCGTTTTGATAGCTTTCTCCCTGTGCAATTAGCTAAAGCACGGCCGTTTTTATCTCTATGCCGTGTCCTTAGCCAAGTGTGCAGGCAACCCTCCTCATACAATGTTAAATTGGACATCAAAACGCAAAGGTTTCCCCAGAAACCTTTGTTTCGGTAATATTTGCTTCCATGAAACAGACTTCGCAAGTCTTTGGTCAGGATGATGCTGGTTGAACAGACTCTTTCATCTCAACTTTCTTTGCGTGGTGTAAGCCTGGGAGTACACCCCATTTTCGTGACACTTGGTCACGATTGCGACCACGTCCACGGCCACTGCCATCACTTTGTGCACCGTCGCCCCATGTCACTTGTTTGAACATGTCTCGCATGTTGGGTGAGTGGTTGCTGCAGCACGAATGGCACTTACACCCAAATATCCCGACGTACATGACATGTGCCCATAAGACATCCTTGCTGTCTCAAACATGGTTCCTGTGTAGCAGTCGTTTGATAATGTGTGACTGTCTGTTATTGCTTCCGAGCACGCACAGCAGTAATGTTGATCTTTTGAAGCTATCCGAGCCGGAGTGGAGATATGGGACGTGAAATTCTTAAGAGGCGTTGACTCTTAAGCGGAGTTGGATATGGCCGTGCAACAGATCCGGGTGGCTGAAATACATGGTATGGCAAATTTTGGTAAAGAAGACAATTGTCGAAGAAAAGGCAAATTATGAAGAATGATAATATTTCGCTTTGTTCGTATTGCATTTTTTTGATAAACTTTGCTTTGGTGTGTGTGTGTGTGTCCCAATTTAACAAGAGAAAGAGAGGATGACATGACTTTTTTTTCTTAAAGAAAAAATCAGGAATGGGTGGGTCCCCCTTCTTTGCAAACTTATATTATGACTTTATTTCTGCTACAGCAGCAATTGTAGTAGCGAAAATGAAAAATAGGGGAAGTAAACAATGGGTCTTACTAGGAGGTTGACCTCTAGATCGACAGCACGGGAGCTCGACCCCCTGATTGAACGTACAATCATGGACAAAGCAATTGACAAAAAGGGTATTTACCGTTTTGATTACGTTGCGCTGCAACCGGACAGTTGAATGTAAATACAAAATTCCAGACTTTTTCGAGCCTGCTTGAATAAATGGACAATATTAAGAAAAGAAAACAAGGAGGATCAAGAAAACACCCATCAACGGCCGAGAATGAAAAAATGGACTTCAATGTGGAAAGGGGGGAGGGGAAAGAAAAGAAAGACAAAAATGTCGGGAAGAGAATAAGATGTAGGCCTAAAACTTGCGAATCACCTCGCTCGTGGTAATGCTCCGCTCTACGCGGACGCCCTGCTGGTCACCGAGGTTATCCTCACTCTTGCAGCCGCGGCCGTCGTCGCCGGCCCCGCCACCCTCTGCCGTGTTTCCCAGAGACGGGGTCGACCCAGGAAGAGGCGTAGACTCATCGCTGCTTCCTTCGGACCAGACGTGCGTGTTGATGGCGCGACCGCCGATGCTGCTGGTACGGGTGCCGTCAAACGGCCGAGTGTTGGGGAGACAGAAATGGACGCGGTCTTGCCCACCTGTCGTTTGTTGCACCGATGCCAACATAGGCGCCGTGGACGCGGCGGTAGAAGCTGACGAGGTGGGAGGGTGAGGAGGGCTGGCGACGGGTCCAATGGTAGTTTCAACATCCCGCTGTTGCTGTAGGTTCTGGTTTTGGGCGGCCTCGGCGACCGCATACGCAATGGGGCTCCATGCAACCGAGGGCGACTGATGGAAGGCCACGGGCGGTGTGAACCAGTTGAAACCCGGGTTGAACAGCACTCTCGATGCCGGTGCTGCGGCTGCAGGTGGCGCAGGGAAGTCGTCTCGTGCCGCCGTAGCGAGCTCTACGTCTCTTGTGTTGTCTGCAGAGGCAGTCGAACCCTTGTGGAACATGCGGTGGAAAAAGGAAGAGAAGCGTGGCGAGCGTAAGTCTGAGGCCTCTTCCGCAGACGTTGGGACTGCTGGGTAGACTGGCACGCCGGATCCTTTGCGTGATTGACTGCGTTGTTAGTACGTTTCCTTTTAGGAGCCTGTGATTTATGAGGGAAAGGCGACAAGAGAGAAAATGGGAGGAACTCACGTGATAGAGTCCAAAGTCGATATCTGCGTGGTCGCATTGGATCCGTAGGACGTGTTGGAATTGGTCGCGTCAATCATCGACCGGTCGGGGTCGTACGGCTCGTGTAGACCCGGGAAGAAGCGACCGAAGCCGATGGCCAGCAGGTACGTGCGGTAGACGTTGATGGCCTCCTTGGATGTGCCGAAGAAAACGAATGCGATAAATGCGCTGACGACGGGGATCCAGCCCATGTTGATTGCCATAAAGCCAGCGTCCTTGTCCGAGAGCACATAAATGGTGTTGTAGGGATTGGGGCCGTGGTAGTGGTTGGTCTCAAAGTCAGACGGATAGTTCCACGGCAATCCCATGATGATGTTGATGGCGCAAAAGGCCGCAATTAAGGGCGTGTATGGTACCAGGATACACAGGACCATAAAGTACAGCTTGCGCCGGGCGCGCTGGCGACGAGCGTAGGCAACAGAGTTGGTGCTGCCGAGAGCAGCGCGAGAGCTCTCGTCGACCTGGCGGAAGCGGCGGTATGTTTGGACTGAGGCCAGTGGTCAGTGTTTCGCGACGTTGGACATACCAAGTGCACATTGGGGGCAGCACGGGAAAGGAAGAGACAGGGAGACTTACACGTATAGTAGCAGGCGACCATGGTATACAGCAGGGGTGGCAGGATATAAAAGACGAGGAAAAGTGCCGTCGCATCATACTCATTGGTACAGCCACTGGCCGGGGCAATGCCAAACCGTATGCCCTGCACGAAAATCGTGAGAATGATCTGCAGAAAGGGCACCGGAAAGATGATGAGCGACTGTGCAATCAGACGTTTGTGCTTCTCGCGCGGCGACAGACCAGTCACGCGTGTCAGGCCGACCTGTTTTGAGAGGCGCTGCATGATGGCACAGACACTGGTGCTGTAGACTGTAACAAACGCGTACTGGACAAAGGACTGCAGGTCGCACCAGCCATAGCCGAGCCACCAGCTGGAAAAGTCCTGGTTGTGCCAGATGGCGGCGTTGACAAACACAAAGAGAATGAGCAGCCAGAGATTGATGACGAAGACACACGCGGGGAACTCGCCATTACGCCACAGCAGTCGCAGCGGCACCCACGTCAAGACAATGGCAATGGGGCACAGGATGAGGCGAAGGACGATGTTGACGACGAGTGTCGGGGACGTCGGGAGGGAGCCGACGCGGCCACGGATGAGAACACCAGCGTCTGTGAAGTACGAGGCTTCCATGTTGTGTTTGCGAGTGGTGTGTTGGCAGGTTGGTGATGTTTGATGTCGCTTTGATACCTTTCTCGACTTTAAGGACCAGAAGGAAGAGAGGAGAAGGAGAGCAAAAGAATTGAAATAAGAAGCGCATCAACTGCACGCTCTCGTGCTTAAAATAGACACCAGTTTTGCGTGTCTCCTGATGAACGGATAAGGGAAGACCTCTCAGGAGAGACCTCTCAGGAGAGTGATATATGAATTTCTTGTCCCCTTTCCACTATTCATTCCAGCACGGGCGTCGGGGGCGAGTGGATTCTCTGAATAGGGGTGCTTCAGGTCGGCTTTCGTGTGAGCATGGATATATCTGGACATGGGCATGGGATAAGATGGAAGGCCGTGGTGGGCCGGGTATCATGAATAACGTATCGACATGGCCAGTTGGTTTGAGAAAGACGTGAGGGAAATTGCGGAAGAAGACGAAAAATGACAAAGAACAAGGAGGTTGAATAGGATGGGAGGTATCTTATGCAAAGTAACGAGTCGGGCCATTGCCTATGAGGGCATGACAAGACCGTGAAACGAAGTGGAAGGGAGAAGGTTCCTATTGAGCAAAGAATGAGATCCGAGAGGTGACGAAAACTCAAGCAAGATCCTGTGAGCGACTGCGGCGTCCTTATTCACCCGTTAAAGAAAACGAAGGTGCAAAACAAGGCATCGGACCCAGAAGAAGAGAGGCTCATCCTCAATAGACATCCCGATTCGGCAAAATAAGACACGGGTAGTGAGTAGTGAGCAAGCAACCCGGGCAAGCAAGGGCCGACATGACGCCAATCAAGCCAATAGTGCATCGATCCGTCAAAAGGGAGAGCCCGGACGTAGCAACGGCTGATCGCCTATTTGGGGGCGAAAGCCGTGGAATAGCGTTTGGGTCGTTGTGGTGGGAATGCCTGTCGTATGCCGTTGTTTAGGAGGCGGATGGAGAGTGAGGTTGCTCGAGGTTCTATTCAGACCCAAAAGGGGAAGGCGCCTTCCCAATTAGGCAGTTTTCCTATTGAGACGTAGCTCCGGAGCTTTCCTCAAACTTTAAGCTGTTTAATTCACGTTTGCAAAAACGAACGTGCAGCACAAGCTGGCTGCTCTTCACTGCCCTTACAGGATTTTCGATATGCCGTTTCTATTTTTGCTTGCGCGCCTGGCACCGGCTATCTGAGGCGTCATTTCGTCCGCACCGTCGACAGGCGGTCTGTCTTTTCGCCGGTCAGTTTGCGAAGGTCTCGTATCATAGCCGCTTTGGGCGGTGGCTTCATTTCGTCACCAACCGTAGTCCCTTGCAGTCTGATACAGATTTTTTACGAAATGGCCACCCGCTGGTGACTGCTGCTGAGTTTATGACCGTCCTGTGTTGATGTGCAGGCCGTTTTATTGTTGATGGGATCGAGCTGTTGACGTCGTTCTCAATTAAAGTGGGTCATAACGAGCCACAATTCGGCAGTCGCTGTGCACGGGCCATTTTGCAGCATGCGCCACAACAGCTTTTAGATTGGAGAGCAGGCGCAAGCGAGGAGAAAACGCGCCAGTGACAGTGACGCGGAGCGCGATTCCCATGTCTGTGCCTTCCCCCTCTATTTCCTGATCGCATCACCAACACAGACATCACCAACTGTTCCAACGGCATCCAACGCACTGTCTTATCGCACCACCCACCTACCCACCCCCCACACCACCACCACCACCACCACGACAAAAATGTCCTTCGCTATGCGCCGTGGCCTCGGCCTTACTTCCTCCCTTGCAGCCTCGTCGTCCCGCGCGTTCAGCACGACGCCCGCCCGCCGCGTTGCCCGCATCACGATTGTGGGCCACCTGGGTGACACGCCCGAGCTGCAGGCCACAAGCACGGGCCACGAGGTGCTCAAGTACGTGGTGGCCAGCAGCAGCGGCCCGCGCGACAACCGGCAGACGAGCTGGTTCCGCGTGTCGAGCTTCCTGCCCGAGGGCCCTCAGCGGGAGCTGCTGCGCGGCCTGCCCAAGGGCACGCTGGTGTATGTGGAGGGCGATGCCACGATGGGCACGTACCAGGACGCCGAGGGCAAGACCAAGAGCTCGCTGAACATTATGCAGCGTACGTATCCGTACCGCCACTTCCAATTGCCATAAACGACCATGACCATGTCCCTCTCTAACTGTTTTGTAGGCAGCATCGAGGTCCTCAAGCGCCCTGCGCAGACCGAATCAGCATAGACAGCTGTTAGGATGCCGAAGATGAGACCGCTGTAACAACTGTTTGTTGCTAAACGACTCAGCTGTATCGATGTCTTTTGTATACGGGATGTGTTGGAGGGTTGCTGTCGAGATAAATGTATTTTATACGGGGTAAGGGAGGCGATGCGAAACCCAACTCAAAACAAGCTCATCCCAGCTCTGCGAATAATCACTGAATAATACCCCCCAAAAACACACAGAAAACGTGAACTTGGGAAAAGACGACAAAGATGCCAGGTTCAAAATTCAAAATGCACGCTCTCGAGGTCTCGTCTACCTGTCTACCTGTCTACCTAACTATACCAGATTCACCGAGTCCATGCAGCCAAACCCGGCAGCCACACCACCCTCCTCGCTTTGGTCGCCCTTGGTCCGCAGCAGGTAGCCGGCCGTCTCGTTGCGCAGGATGCGTTGGCTGGCACTGCCCGACTCGCTGCCCCAAATGCAGGTTCCGTAGATGCCGAGCTCGCAGATCACGCCGCCCTGCTCGACCTGTCCGTTGCGCAGAATCAGATTCGCCACGGGCGGCGGCGTGATTAGCTCCATCAGAATGTACGACGCCCAGTGCTCAGCGGGCACGGTCTGCAGGTGTGCGGGAATCTTGTACTTGTAATAGTTGTTGCCGCCGCCCTCGCGCTGCGGCTTGAGGACAAACGTGCGGCACGCGGCCACGTCCTGCGCCCACGCACGGGCCTGCCGGCCGGCCGCCGAATCTGTGTCGAGCGGGTAGATGTTGGCAAACGTGCGGCGCAGGGTGGCCTGGCGGTCGGCGTCGGTCACAAAGCGGCTGAGTTCAGAGGGCGCGCCGTCCGCCGAGGCGGACGGCGTGGCCAGCACCTGCTGCACCTTTTTGGTGCCCGCCACCTGCGTCAGCACTGTAGGGCACTTGATGGCGGCGGACCGCTCGACCTGGTAACGGGCCTCCCAGGCCGACTCGTCCGGGTAGTCGGAGGGGCCGTAGCCAGCGCGCATGTAGACGACGGCAACCTCAAACGTCTGGGTAGCCGCGTGGTGGTACAGCAGCGGCCGCCGCGGCACGCTCGTGTCGACGCTCGTCTGCTGCAGGATGGCGCTGAACGGCACGCGGAACACGGGCGCCTCGACGGCGTACTCAATGTGGCGCTGGTCGAACACGTTGCGCTCGCCGTCCTGGGTGAGGAAGATGACGCACCGCGGGGGCGTTCCTGACGTCTTGGGTTCACTGCGCTCGTACACCTCGAATGCGGCCTGGAGGCCCGCCGCAATGTCACGGCTGCTGGTGTTGTCGGGCAGGCTGTACTTGTCACTCGGCGTGTTGGACTTTAGCAGTGGGTACTCTGTCTTGGCCAAAAACTTGTGCAGACGCGACGCTTGGCCCGACAGGCCGCCAAAGGACGCCGCGATCGTATTGAACTCGACCTGCTTGATCTGCAAGTGCGCCTCGGCCTTTCCAGTTGCGGTGTCACCGGCCGTCTCTTGGTGCACCAAGTAGTCCGACCGGAAAATGCCCAGCGAGTGCTTGTGCGTGTAGCCCTCCTTCTTGACGCGCTCGTGCACTGCCCACAGCTTGGTCGTAAACTCATCGCCGCCAGCGACCCTGCATCGTTAGTGCGCGGTCAATCAGGCAGTTCTGTTGTTGACCTGGACCTACTCTGCAACGATGCGCCCCAGAAAGGCCTCGTCTTGGCTAATCTTGGCGTAGAGCTCGTTGTATGCCTGCTGTGCGGCCTGGGCCTCCTCGAAGCACGACCGCGCGAACGGGCTCGGGAACAGCGTTACTGGCGCCGCCATGGCCAAGGTGCTCGCCAGCGCGGCCTCGGTCGCGCTGATGGCCGCTGGAGGTGGCCGCACGGCCAGGCCGTTGGCTATGCTCCAGTCCTTGATGACCTGGACGAGCCGCTGCTGCTCGGCCACGTCCACGGCCGGCGGATATGCTGCGCCGGCGTCCGGCCCGGAAGTGGCCATTGTTGCTCGGGGAGGGAGAGGGGGACAAGAGGAGGGATCGTGACGAGATCGTCCAAGGCCCGGACAGCTTCGAAAACAGGCCGCTTCCACCAATTCAACAAGATGTGCTATAAAGCCGAGATTATGATATAAATAAAAAATATCCAGATGAACAAAGCGACACAATGGAGCGGCCAAACTATTGCGTGCAAAACGCGCAGAAAGCGCAACACTAAAAAGTGGTCGCTCTCCGTAGGTACGTTATTACAAAGCGACAGCCGTGCCCAACCGGCCGATTGAGCGACCAAGCTAATCCCCCCACATCTGCAAAGGACCGAACCGGACCTGAATCAACAAATGCACGCCGTATGACGAGTGTCGTATTGATATTCTGATAAAAAAACTCGGTTGTTTATCAGCTCGTATGTTAGTTTTAATGAAAGCCTGATAGCTCTTTTTTTTTTAAAAAAAAAAAAAAAAAAAAAAAAAAACAACACTTTCAAATTTTAACTTCTGTTAGAAATATTACTTTTGAACCTATTTGATAATTCTTCTAATTTCTTGCATAATTACCGGTGGTGCTGGTTTCAATGTACAATATCGATTACTCAGAGAACAACAGATCTTATTACGGACACCCGAGTCGTGTGAGCCCTCGATATATCACAGACATTTAGAGCCCCCAACACTTGACAAGAGTGCCTTGTGATGGTAGTCTATAGCATATGACAAGAGCTGCTATTTTTGCTTTCTTACATAGCTCAAAGAACACACTCGGCCATCGTTTTGATACCCATATAGCCGTGCCTTTAGAAAGGGCGCATAAACACCATTTAACACGGCATCAAACCGGACGTACAATTATCGGCTGCACGTGAGAGCAATCGACAAGGAATAATGGCTTTCGACGACCGGCTTATTATCAAAGCAAAGGCCGAATTGTAATTAGCCTGAAGCAAAAGTAAAAGAGAGTAAATATTGAAAAGTATTATCGGAGACTTAACTTAATATAAGGAGTAAGTGATAAAAATTCAACAACGGCAAAAATGAAACGCAGCACAACGAGAATATGGATAGATACATATTCTTGTATCGGGGCACCACACTGTGCTACGATGTCCTCCCAGGGCAAGTGCACTCTACGCGTTTTGGCGCGCCTGTTCGTTGGCGAGATTCAGGGCCGTTTTGGCGTCGGGACATTTTCGACCTCCCAAAATAGCCACACAGCCCCCTTGCATCCAGGGCAATCCCGAATCGTGCCTCACCTTTGCGCTAGACTTTATCATTTGTTTCGTCTGGTGAAAAGTAAACCATTAAGGTGTCGACTCGAACGGTGCCTTGATTCTTCAGCGGAGAAGACGGCAGAGGGCTGCATATTTGGCCGGTTTCTGGCACATTTCAAACTGACCCCTTGTTATTTTGTGCCAGCCTCAGATTGCTCTCATCGCCTGGGGACATTTTGAGATTTTTCCCATTTCTCTTTTTTCATTTTCAATTTCATTATTTTTGTCGAATATTTTATCACCTCGACTCCAGTTTCGTCTCACCAAACAGTCTCAAGGAGCTTTGCAAATCAGTGCCGTTCATCTATTGATTTTATGTTCTTCCATTCTTTCAAGTCCTCCAACCAGATGCACCATCGAGTAAGTGGCGAGGCTACATCTTATACTTGTGTTCACCCCAGTTCACCTTCTCCGTGCTCATCGCCATGTGTCATTCACTCACACTGTGTCTTCACTCGTCAGATATTCACTTTATCGGAGGCCTGCCATCATGTCAGGCAGCGGAGGCAATATTGACCCTTTCGAGTGGTCCAACGAGCGACTGATCCAGGAGCTGTGCACCAGCAACCGCTCGTGGTCCGCGCCGCCTCCGAAACGATGGCCCGATCCAGAGTTTCTCGCTGCTAAGCTCGAAGAGCATGACCTCGACGGCCAGCTTCTTCTCTGCTACGAAGACTACATGGGCCCGGGCGGATTCGAGTCCCTCTGCGCCGACTTGGGCATCGCTAAGATCCCCCACAAGTTGTCTTTGCGTGTGGCCATACGGTCGTTTCAAAAGAAGAGCCCGGGTTATGCAGCGTGGAAGGCCTCTCAGGCTGCCGGAGACAATAACGACTTGACTGCATCCCAGGCAACGATGCCGCCGTCACCGCCACCAAAGAAGACCCCGTCGAGCGGGCAGGAGAGCGGTGCTGCTGTCACCCCTGCCACACAGGAGGGAGACGACCATGCCTGGCAGGCTGTACACGAACCAGCACCGGTAGGAGTGGGAGTAAAGGACGGTAATTGGAATGGCATCGCGAATAGCACGGAGAACGAAGGCTTTCAGCCAGACCTTATGCATGTCGACAGGCTCGAACTTGGCCAGACCAAGAAACGCAAGAGGTTGGCACCAACAAACATATCTTTCGAGCCCCGGCCACGCGAGGAACGTCCCATTGACAAGTTTTCTGATCCACTTGATGCGCCTGCTGCCAAGGCTGGTGTTGTCTACAAGGGGCTGTGGCAAGAGAGCAAGAAGGGTGCTTACTTGGGCGACTGGAGCCTCACGAGGTACGCGCTGCTCCAAGATCCCGATCCGCTTGGCCCAGACTACAATGTAGACAACAAGAAAGACAAGAACAGGGATGGCGACGATGAAGAGGATGACAATGAGAACGACACCTTTGGTTGGGCCGCTCCGTTGCCGATTCCCAGCGGACGGAGGTTGCAAGTGCACAGGATTTTGCATCGCTATTTTCGGCCAAACAGGCCGTCTGGTATGCGGCTGGGCCGCGCACGCTCAGCTCCAACCAATGATGCTCTTGTGGCCGGTGCCACTGTGGCAGACGATGACGAGGTTCTTCCCGCGCTGGGCGAATCAGACGACGAAGGTTATGATACCGAGACCTGGGAGGCCATGGAGCAGGAGGCCAGGGAACGAACCGAGCAAAACGGTCAAGAAGTGCAACAGACGAAACGCAAGAACGCGCCGCTCACCGTCGAAGCATTTGACGCCGTCATTGTAGACGCCATCCGTGACATTGAAACGCAGTGGGCTAACAAGAAGCTACACAAGCTGCGGCGCCGTGAACACCAAATGTGGACCGCGGCCCGCCGTGCAGGCTCGCGCAAGTACCTCGTGGACCGGGCACGCAAGGAGGCCGACCGTTTCGCGCAGCGGATTGACAAGCTGGTGCAGGAGATGCGCCACGTCGAGTGGCGGAACGAGAAGGAGGTCCGACTGCAGGCCGCTGTACTTGATGCCAACATTGAAGACCGGCAATATGCACTCTGGGAAGCACGACTGTACTCGTCCCCGACAGCACCGCGAAAAGTGACCGTCGACGGGAGCGCCCTGCGACGGCAATCGTCCACGTCTCGTGCCATCCGGCGTAAGGCGCTGGAAGGCGACGAAGAAATTCTTACCAGCTCCTCGAGCGAAGAGGACGACGATCTCCGGATGAAAAACTTCATCTTGGACGATGATGACAACGGTACATTGTCGGACGGACCCATGGACATGTCCGATGACGACACCGGTGGCAGTGAGAGCCGATCCTCGAGCCGAGGCCCGGAAAAGCGGGAGACGATGAAACGCCGCGACGAATCTAGAAAATTACAGTCAGGACAACTCTCCATGGGCGAGGCGTTCAAGGGGTTGCTGGGGAGTCTGAAGGAGAATTTTCCACTCGGCAACATGGCGGCCATCGTCGACAAAGGTGCTTCCTATTGGGAAAGTAGTAGGGACGTTACACGCCTGCTCTGTACGGTCTTCTCGAGCGCCGACCGCGAGCAGCTTGCACGGCTGGTCCATCACTGCACCCAGGCGACAAACATTGATGACACCTGGAATCATTATTGCCGCCGGGTTATTGAGAACGGTAGTGATGTAGAGGCGCCCCGCACCGGCATGGAAAGCGATGCTACGGCCTTTACGCGTTACTTTTACGTCTTCGTGACATGCCGCGACGTGTCGTTGCAAGACTTTAACCCCACAAGCGAAGGCACGAGCGATGATATTGTAAGGAGCAGGGGAGAACTTGGTAAATTTTGCGTGAAGCTACGAACGCTCGCGCCGTATTTTATCGAACCAACATCGAAATCGACACCGCCGTTGCCCGCCCCGTCCGCTCGTCCCGTTCCGACTGCTCAGTCAACTGCCGTTTCCGGGCCCAGCAATTGTCGAACTGCTATAGAAGTGGACATAGAAAGCGACGACGAAGACGAGGACGAGCTCAATATTTATGCGGTCCGCCCCGTTGTTGAAGAGATTGAGGATGATACAGACGAGGATGATGACGATGACGTCCTCTTCTCACATTCACAAAAGCGGCGAATGCGCCGCATTCGCAAAGATGAATCTGCCCAAGAGCTGCGCGACAAGGATCAAGCCCGGCACCAGGAACAGGAAAACCGTCGCAAGGCCCTTTATGAAAGCCTCGCGCAGTCGGGGACCTTGTCCCAGGACCAGACCCGGCTCATCATCAACACGGCCAAGGAAAAGCACCACGGCATTGTGTATGTCGACGAATGGATTGGCCGCAACATCCGCGACCACCAGGTCGAAGGCGTGCGGTTTATGTGGAACCAGATCGTCGCGCCACCGGAGTCCCGGCAAGGTTGTTTGCTGGCCCATACGATGGGTCTTGGTAAGACCATGCAGGTCATCACGTTGCTTGTCGCCATTGCCGAGGCCGCCAAGTCGCCGGACGAGTCCATCGCGTCGCAAATCCCTGACGACCTCAAGGAGTCCAAGACGCTCATACTGTGCCCGTCGGGTCTCGTCGAGAATTGGCAGGACGAGCTGCTGGCCTGGGCGGCGCAATCGGGTGCGCTCGGCCCCGCGTACAGCATCACGTCGAGCATGTATGCCAGCCACCGGATCGGCGCCGTGCGGCATTGGGCCGAACGAGGCGGTACGATGGTGATTGGCTATCCGATGCTCAACATGCTTATCAAGGAGTTTAGCGACGAGGCCGTCGCGTTGGTGGAGCAGACGCCCAACATTGTCATTGCCGACGAAGCCCACACCCTGAAGAACCCCAACTCCCGCATCAACCAATTGACCCGCAACTTCCGGACGTCGGCGCGCATTGCCATGACGGGTTCGCCGCTGGCCAACTCCGTGGACGAGTACCACTCCATGATCAACTGGGTGGCGCCCAACTACCTCGCCGCAAAGGACGAGTTTCGTGCCACCTACGCGAACCCGATCCGCGAGGGTTTCTACCGCGACAGCACGCGGTCACAGCGGCGCCATGCCGTCAAGATGCTCAAGGTGCTCAAGGACACGGTCGCGCCCAAGATCCACCGTGCCACCGTCGCCTCACTGCAGGGCGTGCTGCCCCCAAAGTACGAGTTTATCATGTATCTGCCGCTGACGCCGCTGCAGCTGCGCGTGTACAAGACCTTTATCGACCTGTTGACCCAGCCTGGCATGGTGGCCGGTATTAATAGCACAGTGCAGCTATGGAACACGCTGGTCAACCTGACGCTGCTTCTGGCGCACCCCAAGATCTTCGAGAGCCGGCTCCGGGAGATGAAGCAGCCCAGGCAAACGGGCCCGCGCAGTGGCACGCTGCCGGCGCCCATGGTCGACCAGCTCCTGGCGGCGGTCCACGCCCAGAACATTGACGCACCCGAATACTCGTCCAAGATTATGGTTCTCATGGGCATCCTGGACGAAGCGAAGCGTGTCGGCGAGAAAGTGCTCGTCTTCTCGCAGAGCAAGCTCGTGTTGGACTACCTGCAGACCGAGTTCCAGCGCCAGGCGCGCCGCTACCAGCGGCTGGACGGCGACACCAGCGTCAGCAAGCGCCAGGCCATGGTCAAGGACTTCAATGCGGGCAGCGACGAGGTGTATCTGATCTCGACAACGGCGGGCGGTGTCGGCCTCAACATCCATGGCGCCAATCGCGTCGTTATCTTCGACTTTAAGTGGAATCCCATCCACGAGCAGCAGGCCATTGGTCGCGCCTACCGCATCGGCCAGACGCGCCGCGTCGTCGTGTACTGGCTGATTATGGGTGGCACCTTTGAGACGGTGCTGCACGACCAGGCCGTCTTCAAGACGCAGCTGGCCTCGCGTGTGGTGGACAAGAAAAACCCCCAGGCCTGGGCCGACCAGCTGCGCAACTACACCAAGGACCCCGAAGTCGTCCCTGTCGTCCCGGACACGGCGACCAAGTACAAGGGCCTCGATGTGGTGCTGGACGCACTCCTGCGCCCCGGCGCGCCCACGCAAGAACGCATCTGCAAGGTCATGTCGACCGACACGTTTGAGATGGAAGAGCCCGAGGATGCGCTGACCAACGAAGAGCTCACCGAAGCGGTCAACATGGTCAATATGAACAGGATGCGGCTGCGGAGCGGTGGCGTTGTCGGTGGCGGTGGCGGTGGCGGTGGGCCGGAGAGCGGCTTCCAAGTGGTCGGTGTGCCGGGAATGGCGGGCGCACAAACCACGACGATGCAGAGGGTCGAGCGCACACAAGTCGATGGAGCTAGGTTCCCGCCGACAGCGACAGATTTTGCGACCTCGCAGGCCATGGCGCGGGCTGGCGCAGGCAGTGTGCTGCCTTCGTTGGTGCTGGCATCGCAGTCGCAGCAGCTTCAGCAGTCGCAGCAGCTTCAGCAGTCGCAGCAGGCAGGGTCGAATCCAGTCCCCAGCATGTATGCGTACGATGCTTTCCTCAACCAACCGCCGTCCGTACCGATGCAGATCCGCACGCAGTCTACCGCCCACACGATGCAACCCACGCCCGTCTTACCAGCCGTCGTGCCGTCAAACGGGTATCTAGACCACCACGACTGGATTTCTGAACCGGCGCCCGAATCCAACATTGATCGTTCTCTCCGGCCGACGCCGGCAGACAAACAGACGCCTGTATCAACACCAGCAGTGCCACCACCGGTGCCCTCAAGCTCATTGGCGGCTACATCGGAAGATTTCGTGGCTGTTTTGAAAGAGGCACTACTCAGTGGCGCTATGGATAAACAGCAATGCATATGGAAGCCTCGGACTGCCGAGCTCCTGGCACGCAGGACAGTTGACGAAATCATTGCCTGTTTGCCAATGGCCAAGCTTTCGGGCCTGCCTGAGAAAGCGCAATGGGGCCGCCTCCGATCTTTGGTCACCAGGGTGCCAGGTTTCGCCGAGGCGACCGTGCACGGGGCGATTTCGGCAAAAGCGCTGGTGATGTTGAGGTCGACGGAGGACCAGAAGTTGGCTGATCTCGTGACCGGTGCCTTGGCCGAAATCGACTCCATGCCGCGCGCGTACAGTCTTAAGTCGATGCCCAATGCTTGGAACCTATTTGGCGAACAACACACGGCCGTACGCATCTTGGAGCGAAAGCTGTTTGACCGGTCTTGGACCAAACCCGCCGAAGCCAAAGGGAACTTTTATGTCGCGAGGAGTTTGGCGGAAGGCGCAATAGCCAATGTCACTGTGCCAATCACCGTGAATATGACACGGTGTGCCATTCTTGCGTTCCGTGATCCCGTCTTTGCGAGCGCGTTTGTCATGCCGACGTTTAACCACCGGGCGTGGGCCGCGATGGCGCCGAACGAGGAAGCTGATTATGTGCGCCAACTGCACCTTCAACACATGGTCGAGCATGCTGATGAGTACCGCAAGGGTTACCTCAAGATCAGGTATACAGCAGACGGCAGCACTCCGAATCCCAGTTTTATGCCCTTACCCATGCCCTCGCCCATGGCGCCTCTACCACACGCCGCAAAGGCAGAGCCGATGGACGACACCTCTAGCGCCAGGGCTCTCAAGAATGTTCCAAGCCGGCCGCACTTGATGACCGGCAGCGGCAGGTCCAGCTTTAGCGAGACCTTTGGTGCCGCTTCGCCTCGACCGGCTGCTTCACCACCGATGCGGACCAAAGACCCAGACGTGCGTTTCCATCCGTTTTTATCTTACCCCTTCTGTCCATCACAATGTAACTAACCGTTTGTGTTTCTCAACAGCACCTCAAGCACCATCTGCAGCGGTCGCAGATTTGGAGCCACGACGTAAATGACCGTGGTTCCGTTGGCCTGGGACGAAGTGAAGACGGTCGGCCGCCCCGAGAGGACCGGCCACGCGTATCGAGTTCGGGCGCCAAATCGCGTGACCTGTTGGCCATGCGCGAGGTTGTGGAGCGCAGAGAGCGCAAGACGGCCACCGTGTCGGTGCCGGCATCGGTGCCCCAAACACCACAGCGGCCATCGCCATCGTCATCGCCGTGGATGCCACACGCACAATCACAGACACCCGACATGCCACCCAACATGGCTCCCAACATGACACAGGCTGCCCAGTCACAGGTGCACCCCTCTCGCTCCCCCCCGCCGCCTCCGTCCACCCACTCGGCTCGATCCAGCTCCGGCGCCGCCTCCCCTGTGCCCGACCCCCAGGGCGCCGCCTTTCGTATCCGGGGCGCGCCACGGATCGACCCAGCCTCGCAATTGCAGCGGGGCCAGCAGAGCCAGAACCAACTGGAGCGCGACCTGCTGGACGCTGACCGGCGGCAGCAGAACGCCAGGAGGGACAAGGACAAGGCCGGCGGCAACAAGCCCCGCATCCTGCCACCGCCGAGCCGGGGCCCTGGGCCACAAGCCGGCGACAATGCACAACATCCGTTCATTCTTGAGTAATGGGGGCTTTGGCTGTGTTTCGTTCTTCCTCATGTGCTCCGATTTGTTTTACATGCTCTGGTTCTTCTACATTTGGTCCAGGCGTACTTTACCTGGCGTCACGGTCGATTGATACTCCTTCTTTATTTTTCTTACTCTATAGTTTCCAGTCAAGTACGCCCTTGCATTTCTTGTGAGCACGTTTTGCGGAGTATATTCGGGCATATACGGGGTACAACGGTGTGATTTGACATGAAGTGAGCCAGAAAACTGAGGCATTGCAGTTCTGATACAATATGTGGTGCTCTCTGATCGTTTTTGTCAAATATATGTTCTCGAGCCGTATCTGTCTCGGACGCAATAAATCGTGAGGAGGCAAAAGGATAATAAAACGTTCAAAATAAACAACTTTCGATGCTTAAACACACACGCTGACGCTGTCCCGAAAGATGCACTGATCTCCTCTCGAACAGTTTGGACTGTGACCACTTGCCGAGGCCGAGTCCAATCAGCAGCAGGCTAAACTGCATGACCGCTAGCGTCCTTTTGCTCTTCACCCAGAGAACGGATACGAGGGTGACTATTACCCTACAAAAGGAACGCCGATCCGGAGAACAGTCATAAGCAAACCATTGAAGCAGTCTTTACGTTGTCCGCCTCCAATGTAATGCACAAATAAAGTGCGAGGGCATGATAAAGTAGAAGTTGTCAGACCAAAAAGCATGGTGGAACCACGGTTCTTTTTGCATCTGTTATTATTACTTAAGTATCTTCCGACAGAAGTCCTGCCGTCTTTCCCCTCCTTTGCGGCCGTTATTCTGCCCCTGTATTTTTGTTCCCTCTTATTCTTGCGTTCCGTGCGGCGTCCATGCAGAAGCCACAAGAACAAGGGCCTGCCGTTGCGGGGAAGAAGGGACAAAAGTGCCTGAAAAGGGACTGGGCGGGCCTCGCCTCGACACTTGATTGGCCTGACACGTCGATTCGATCTTGGTTGAAAAAAGGAAAACGAAAAAAGACTGAAGCAGTTGGAAAAAGATATTAGTAGCTGCCAATTCCGAATCCCGAGACGAAGACAGGCGAGGAAACAGCGACTGGACCTGTGCATCTAACGAACCATCTGCAATTTGCAGCAACAAATGTCGGATATATGCACCGACAGCATGTCGGTAGAGTTGAGAGCTGGAACGTTCTACACGGACCACCATGAATAATTGACTTGACAGATCTCCGGCTAATGAGCAACGTTAGACACGAACTGGCTGACAGCCTTCTAGGCCACACGTCGTGTCCGGAATGGCAAGCAAATAACAAATAACACAGCGCTGGGACGGACCGTATTCAAGGCACTTTGCTTCTTCGTTGAGACTTATAATTTTGTCTAATTTTCTCATAGTTTACTATGTCCACTTGCCGTCTCGGCTTCTGCTTCGCCGGCCACAGGTTTTGGTTGTTTAGCTTGGTCACCGTGGCTGCAAAAGCCCAGAAATGTTGCCAACAATATTGGACACCTTTCCGCCTGCACGTAAGGACTGAGCGCTGGAGACCATTGACCACTGGGCCATATTATGGCCCGCGCTAGCGGTATGCCCCTCTTTTCAGGGCGCATTTTCGCAAGCACTTGGTTGATTTTGTCGCCTATTTTGTTACGGGACCACTGACCGTGGACGGTTTTGGTGTTCTTTTTTATTCCATGCTTTGTTCCCTTGTTTAGCCCTGGCCTAAATTGCTACTGCGTTTCGGATGTCCCTTCCTCGGTTTTGCCACATCCCACCGTCCAACCAACCACCGTTTGCCCTTTCTCTCTTTGTCATTGCTTTTTCTGGACCTGCAACTTTTTGGACACTTTCCTTATTTAAAGGTCATCATTTTTGCATCATCGTCTTGCATTTCCCTCTCTGCTTTGTCCGTACTGACTCGCTGTCCGAATTGGACCGTCATACACACCACCTTCCGAATAACGAACTCCAAGAAACAAGGAAAGAAAAAAGAAAAGAAAACAAAAAGAAATCCCACCGCAATGGACGCCGTTCTTCGCCAGTCCAAGGCCGTGTGCCCCTTCCTCAAGAAGGCCTCGCCGGCTACGCTCCGCGCTCTCTCGACCGCCTCCCGCCAGCAGGCTGCCCCCGAGGCGTCCTCGGCTCTGATTGCTGCATCCCCCTGCGGCGGCGCCCTATCGAAACTGCAGCTGCTCGCCGGTCGCTGCCCCGTCATGGGCAAGGCTATGGCCGTCCAGGCCACCCGCATTGGCACTAGCCGTGTTGCTGCCAGCAGCAGCATGGGCTACCGCGGTGTGGCAGCCTCGCTCTCGGCGGCCTTCTCGACGTCTGCCGCCGCTTCGGCCCCTGCTGCCCGCGCCCACGGCCTCCACGGCTCTGCCGCCCGCACTTGCCCCCACGCGGCATCGGCAACTGCTTCAACTGCTTCATCGGCTCCGCGTACGGCCCGTCTCCATACCAGCCGTTCCCAGGAGGCCAGAGCCGTCGACGGCCACGTTTTCAATGACAAGCGCATTCCTGCCGGCATCCCCGGTGCCGACAAGGTGTCCAAGGCCGCCAAGGCCGCCAAGACCGCCGTCGCTGCGGGCAAGGCCTCCACCACGCCTGGCTTCGCCGCGGCGCCGGCCATGGTGCAGACCAAGTTCGACTACGAGGGCTTCTACGAGGCCGAGCTGGACAAGAAGCACAAGGACAAGTCGTACCGCTACTTCAACAACATCAACCGCCTCGCCAAGGACTTCCCCCGTGCCCACATGGCTGACAAGGAGGATCGCGTTACCGTCTGGTGCGCCAACGATTACCTCGGTATGGGCAGCAACCCCCAGGTCCTGCAGACGATGCACGAGACCCTCGACGAGTACGGTGCCGGTGCCGGTGGCACCCGCAACATCTCGGGCCACAACCGCCACGCCGTCCACCTGGAGGAGACGGTCGCCCGCCTGCACGCCAAGGAGTCGGCGCTGGTCTTTAGCTCGTGCTACGTCGCCAACGATGCCACGCTGGCCACGCTCGGCAGCCGCATGCCCGGCTGCGTGATCCTGTCGGACAGCCTCAACCACGCGTCCATGATCCAGGGCATCCGCCACTCGGGCACCCAAAAGATTGTGTTCCGCCACAACGACATTGAGGACCTCGAGGCCAAGCTGGCCGCCCTGCCCCTCAACGTCCCCAAGATTATTGCTTTCGAGTCCGTCTACAGCATGTGCGGCTCCATTGGCCCGATTGAGGCCATCTGCGACCTCGCCGACAAGTACGGCGCTCTGACCTTTTTGGACGAGGTCCATGCCGTCGGCATGTACGGACCAAACGGCGCCGGCGTCGCCGAGCACCTCGATTTTGACGCCCACGTCCAGGGCCGTCCCAGCGGCACCCTCATGGACCGCATAGACATTATCACTGGCACGCTCGGCAAGGCCTACGGCTGCGTCGGCGGCTACATTGCTGGCAGCGCCCAGCTGGTGGACATGATCCGCTCGCTCGCGCCCGGCTTCATCTTCACCACGTCCTTGCCCCCTGCGACCATGGCCGGCGCCCGCACCGCCATTGAGTACCAGATGAACTACGCCGGCGACCGCCGCCTGCAGCAGCTGCACACCCGCGCCGTCAAGGAGAGCCTGGCCGCGCGCGACATCCCCGTCATCCCCAACCCGTCGCACATTGTCCCCATTCTCGTGGGCGATGCCGAGGTCGCCAAGCAGGCCTCGGACATGCTGCTGCGTGACCACCAGATCTATGTGCAGTCCATCAACTACCCCACCGTCCCCGTCGGCCAGGAGCGCCTGCGCATCACGCCCACGCCGGGCCACGTCAAGGAGTTCCGCGACCGGCTTGTCCACGCCGTCGACTCCATCTGGTCCGAGCTGGGCATCCGCCGCACGTCGGACTGGGCCCGCCAGGTGCCCGGTGGTTTCCTGGGCGTTGGCGCGCCGCCCGCTGCCGAGAACAGCCCGCTCTGGACCGACGAGCAGCTGGGTATCACCCAGGCCGTCCGTGCGCTGCAGCAGCAGGACAGCCACAAGGACAATGGTCTGACGGAGGCGCTCCTGGCCCAGGAGAAGCTGTCGCCCGTTGCTGCGACGGCCTAACGCGGTTTCTATCATGCCGAGAGGGACGGGGGGCGTGTTCGAGAACAAAGGAATGGATTTGGTGGTAGGCTGTGGGCTGTGGGGACCATGGCGGAGGGAAAAAATAAAACGCTCTGACCACACCCCCAACCCGGCCCTGCAACTAGGGAAATCGGACCCTTGAATTGGGTGTTGGAGTAGGCCCAGGCTGAGACTTTGCCTCGAGCTCTGGGCCTGGCTCCGAGCCTCGGATCGGGCTTTGTTCTCTCTCGTGCTACTGAAACTATATGGCGGTGGGCTTGACCTACTGCTATTTGAACACCTAAGCTTATCCTTCGTCTTTTGCTGGGTCGGCGCCACTCTTTTTCTTGCTTTTGTCTTTGATTTCGCGTTTCTTTGCCTTCTTTCTTCTCACACTGCATCCCACCTACATTCTTACACGGACTAGTTGGTGAACTACTGGTACTCTCCGAGAGACGTGCAGGCACAGGTCCGCATGTTTATTTGTTGTCTGATGTTTGATGGGAGGTGCGAGCGTATGAAGATAGGCAAGAGACAACAAACAAGAGGGAACAAGAAAAAGATGAGGGTCGTGCTCGCATATTTTTGAATATGATCATTTTTTGGTGCGTGAGAAAAGAAAACGTCAGATATGTCCTGACGTAAGGTTATTTTGTCTTTTTTGTGGTATCCTTCGATCTCATGATGGCGAATCTATCGGACCGACCAAATACAGGAACTCCATCAGATGCCGCCACATATTGTGAGCGTTGCATGACTACTGCACTTTTCTGGTTCCTGTGATGCATTTTTATGATGAGCATGTGGACTGAGAGCCGTGAATCCGTTAAGTCCTCGGAATTTTCGTTTTGTTGTCGAACTTCCGATAGTAACAACGGTGCGGTCAGGGGCGAAGATGACCCGGAAAGTGTAGCAAACCGTTGTCGAGATTGACCCAATG